AACTCCCTCCCCCCCCCCACCCACAAGCCTGTGGCTTGCTTAGTACCCCAACCCTCTATCTGACCCCAACACTCCCCAGCCTGACGCCCCCTCCCCGAGCCAGCATCCCCTTCTCTACCTCCCCCTGCATCCAAATTTCCTCCCAGAGCTTGCACCTCTCACCCCTTCCCACACTCAAATCCCTCATTCCCACCCCAGAGCCTGCACATCCTGTCTCAAGCAAGTAAGGGCACAGCTATATTACAGGAGTTTTTCCAGGAATCCAGAGCTATCCCAGAAAAACTCTTCCACATCCAGGGACATGTTTGTTCTTCCACTTTTTTTAGTGGAAGAGCAAACATGCTCTTTCAGTAACCTCTGTATTCCTCGTTCCACAAGGAATAAGGGGGCTTCTGAAGGACCAGTCTAGACTGGTCAAATGTTGGAAAAAAAGCTCTTCCTACAGAAGAATCAGAAAAAAAAAATCAGTGTAGAGTGTATAAGGGCTGGGGACAGCAAGTGATGGAGAGGAGGAGAATAGAGAAGGCGGGGCTTCAAGGAAGGGTTGGGGTCCTGGGGGAAGGATGGAGCAGTAGCTCTTGGCTTGTTCTGACATTTAAAAAGTGATCTTGGGTGTTAAAAGATTAGAGACCACTGATCTAGGTGGTGCTTGGTCCTTCCATGAGGCCAGGGGATTGGATTTGATGACCTCTCAAGGTCCCTTCCAATCCTCGTTCCACGAGGAGTAACCATAGTTCGGAATAGGAAGCCTAGTCCGAACTACCTAGTTCGTGCCGCATGTAGCCGCGGGGCACGGAGTCCGAACTAGCGGACATTTAAAAATGGTGGCGCCCGGCAACATGCAAATGAAGTCCGGGAAATTCAAATCCCGGGCTTCATTTGCAATTCCGGTTGACTACATTACCACCCTAGTTCAAACTAGGGTGGTAGTGCAGACATACCCTAAGGTGCCACAGGACTACTCATTGCTTCTAAAGTTACAGACTAACAAAAATATATAGGATCATGAGCTTTCATGGATATGTTCTAATGAAGTGAGTCTTACCCATGAAAGCTCACGAGCCTATATATTTTTGTTAGTCTGTAAGGGCATGTCTACACTGGGAAGTTATTTTGAAATAACAAGGCAGGAGTCCACACAGCAAGCAATTTTTGAAATTATTCCAAAATAATGGGCTTGTTATTTTTAAATAACTCCTGCTTCTGATGAGGAATAATGCCTATCTTGAAATAGACTATGTCTACACTATGAGATTATTTCGAAATAACTTATTTCGAAATGATAACTCCTGAAATATTTAAGGTGCCACAGGACTTTTCATTGTTTTTAAAACCTTAGGCTGTGTCTAAACCGGTGCAATCTCGCGCAAAAGCAGCCGCTCTTGCGCAAAAACTTGCTGCCTGTCTACACTGGCCGCGTGTTCTTGACGTTCTAATATATAAAATCAGGGCTTCTTGCATGAGAACTCTGACGCTCCCACTCAGGAATAAGCCCTGTTGCGCATGAGCTCTTCTAGAAGAGGCCAGCATAGACAGGCAACATGAATTTCTTGCGCAAGAAAGCCCGATGATTAAAATGGCCATCAGAGCTTTCTTGCGCAAGAGAGCATCTACGCTGGCATGGATGCTCTTGCGCAAAAGCACATGCCAGTGTAAATGCTCTCTTCTGGAAGAGTTTTCCAGAAGAACTCTTCCACAGAAGAGTTTTTGCATGAGAACGAGCCCATGTAGATGTAGCCTGTGTGTTACATGCCATGAGAATCCCCCATAGCACTGTGCCCCTGTGGAATCGATTCAGGACTAGCACAGAAGGAAGAACATCCTAACTACTGCCTGCTGTAGCACTGGGATATTCCCTGGTGTTCCACCCATGCCTAAGATGAGATATCCTAGGCTACGTCTAGACTGCAAGCCTCTTTCAAAAAAGAGTGTCTAGACTACAACCACTATTTTCGATAAAGCAAGCCACTTTTTCAAGAGAGAGCACCCAAGCAGTCTTGATTCTCTCTTTCGAAAAAGCACAGTTTGCATTACATAGCGCCTTTTTTCAAATAAGCACTTTCAAAAAAAGGTGTCATTCCTCGTAAAATGAGGTTTTCCACGGTCAAAAAAACTGCCGTGTTCTTTCAATTTACTTTCGAAAGAATGTGGCAGCAGTCTAGATGCAGGAGAAGTTTTTTCGAAAAAGAGCCACTTTTTTTGGAAAAAAAACCCGTACTCTAGACACACCCTTATTGTCAGAGTACAATGTGTCAGAAGCTCCCAAGAACCAGGCACAGTTTAGCTTTGATTGCCCCTCGTGTTCCTCAGTAGGATACCTGCACACCATAAAACCATTTTTAACACTTCAAAATATTTATATTGGCTTAATCGTGTTAATGATGTGCTGTGATCTCAGCAATCCCTGTGCATACCATTTCTCCGAGAGACAGCTGGAAGGCATTATGTGCCTCCATCTTCCGTACACGATCAATAACGTGCATTGTGGTCAGTTATCTCATAATGGAACTGCAGTGGTGAGAACCTATGGCTTAATTAAGTCCAGTGATTCCTTTTGATGATGGTGATTTCAAACCACTTCTATTTTCCAGGAAAGAATAAATAGGTGCCTAGCTCATAAAAGCAAGGATGATTCCATATCAGAAATATTCTCCCTGCTTAGGTGCTTCTAGGTATGTCATCAGTTCACCTTGATAGAAAAGAATAAATGCTATGAAGGTGGGGGCCTTTCAGATAGAAGACCAAAGTGTAGCAAGACTCTATAACTGGAGGAGAAAATTAGAAAAAAAGAAAATTGGAAAAGATAAACCAGTGAAAGTAATTAAACCCAAAAGCCACTAATCAAGGGAAGTGGCAAATTCAGCCTCATTTAGAGTCTCTAAATAGATTCCACACATCTTGGAAGAGAGATGTTCTCGTTCAACCACTAGTTATCCAGCTCAATCGTATTTACTGGCAGAGCAGAAAGAGCAATTCCCGCCACTGCAGGAATTGCTGGATGAAAGAGTCAGGCCTGGACAAGCCAGGAGATCAGACATGGCACCTTTGGGCCTGAAGATGTCCAACTAGATCGTCTCTTTCTAATTACTTTTCGCTTGTTGCACACCCGAGCTCACCATCTTTAGAGGGCAACGTGAAACATCGCAGAGAAACTTGGAAGTAACTCTGGCTGCCACTGCAGTTAATTGAGCCTTTTCCATCAAGTCCAATGGGAATCTAAGCCAGCCATGGCACATTGCAGGCTATAATCTGATGGAGGGAATAGAGTGGGAACTAAAGAACATCCTCAAGAAAACAGGCGGGTTAATGAGCTCACCATCTTTAGAGGGCAACGTGAAACATCGCAGAGAAACTTGGAAGTAACTCTGGCTGCCACTGCAGTTAATTGAGCCTTTTCCATCAAGTCCAATGGGAATCTAAGCCAGCCATGGCACATTGCAGGCTATAATCTGATGGAGGGAATAGAGTGGGAACTAAAGAACATCCTCAAGAAAACAGGCGGGTTAATACTAGAGAGGCTGTTGTATTAAACCCCATACCACTACCTGATGTGCTGGAAACCTCTTAGCTATTAACTTAATCTGTACAATGAGGTAGGCAAAAGAAAGGAAGATGGAGCAGATTTGCCGAGAGCAAGGATAGATTTCTTTAAATTCCAGCTCAGCGCTTGTGAACATATTGAAGAGCATAACAATTTGTTAATTTCATTTGATTGTTTTTGGAGGGCAGAGTTGAAGTCTCTCTCTTACTCCTCTATTCCCTTGTAAAGGTGTTTCTGCATTGCAGAAAGCATGGAAGAAAGGCTATGAAAAAATAGCTCTCGTTATCATGATTGCCATTGGTACATAGGCTGTTCTCACTCAAATGTGGTCTTCATCTAACTACAAAGCCGCAATTATGTCAATGCTAGGCCAACGCGATCAAGAAATGTTCTACTGTGTCAAAGCTCATGATGAGCCTTGTGAGGTTTTGATGTGCCTGAAGACAGCAGAATGCCAGATCTCAATGTCTTGAAAAAAAAGGTCTCTAACAGGTCTCTAAGCACTGATCTACAAGGTTGAATTTATAAGTGGAGTATCCTCACTACCAAGCCCATTATTTCAAAATAACGGGCTGCAGAATTCAAAATCTGTACTCCTGCTTTTCATCAGCAGTAACGCTAATTCCGAAATAGTTATTTCAAAATAGTGGTAGCATGGATGCTCCAGTGCTGGAAATAATTACTCTCCAGAATAATTTGAATTTCGAGACTTTCCCATAGTGTGGGCACACTAGTTCCAATCTGTTAATTCGGGAGTTTAATTGAATTTACTAATTTTGAAATAGTTTCCTAGTAGAGCCATGACCTAACATTGAACCATAATCCATGCCTTCTTCCAAGTTTTGGAGAGGGTTTAAGAGTTGGTTTCAAAGCATTAGCTGCATAGATCTCACCCTTTGCAAATGACAGGCATAAATAATGGCAGGCATGCTAGAAGATCCTGTAGTAGATTCTGTAGGAATGGGGTGTTTGACAGTGTAGAGGATACTGATGAGGGGAATGGCCAAAGGGTTTTGAGAGTCAGTTCTGATACTGTAAATATATTCAGAGTCTGAACCCATTTGGTTGTGGAAATCCTGCGGAAGCGCTCATGCCACTGAGCTATCTGCATGACATTCTGGTTCCTGTGATCACAGAATGACCTTCATCAAGGCCAAGAAACTATTTGTGAACCTTAAAGCCCATTACTGAGCTACAGTGGATACAGTTTTTGGAAGGGAATCCAGCCCTTTTAGGAGCCTCAGGCCCATTTTCATAAATGACTTGGAGCCAGATGTGAAAGCTATTCAGATGTCTTAGGATAACTCTATAGTGTAGCCTAAATGCAACTGTGTCTGTGGGGTTGGGGCATTGTATGAACCTTCCCCAGAAGGGGAGGGGGATGCTAATGTTCCTTCCCCATTCTCAGGCTCTCTTGGAGATGAGTTTCCTAGTTCAACCTGGGTTCTCCAGCAGAGACCCTTGGGTGAATAACTGTGTTGAGACTGGTTCAGGGCCCTCTTTCCCATCCAGAAAAGGCCAGGACTGCTGATCCTTGGCGAGTCCCAATCCTTAGGGAAGAGCTGGAAGGACGTGGCTAAGGGAGGCCTCAGATGAGGTGCTTGTTTGAAGCTGAAGCAGTGATGAACTTGTTACCCCAAACAGGGTGTTCTTAGGATTTATGAAGCCCTAGACAATGCTGTTAAACGGATGCCCCTCTGCCCAAAGGCAGCCGCGGGAGGGGCAGGGAAGACAATGATTTTTTAGAAGTGTGATTTTATAAACCTCAAAAACACTCTTGAGCTCTTTTAACCAACAGGATCTTTGTTTACATCTTGCTTTAACACAGTGGGCAGAGTGGGGATGGTTTGTAGGGGCTGACCTGAGCCCCACTGGGGGGGCCCCGCAGCAGCTGCCCCAACTATTCTATGGATGGGACAATCCCCCCATATTGAGCTTAGCCCATAGGGCTCAGGGCAGCTTTAGGGAACAGCGGGGTGGCTTGGTACAGACTCCCCCTTGCACTCAGTGCAGTTGCAGGAGCTGGAAGAAGCAGCAGGACTCAGCAGCCTGTTCTGCTGCCATCTCCCAGCTGAATCCCCCTGCTTTACAGCAGTGGCGGGAAGCGGAGAGCCTTGGCCACAGCTGACAGAACTTGGCACAAACAGGGCTGAGAGTGCAAAACACTAATTGGTAATAGGTCCAGGTGCAGAACAATAATTGGTTCTGGTCATAGATTGAAATCACATGGTATCACCAGCTCATTAAATGAATTTATCTATGGTCTTTTTTTTTAACCCTGTTATAGTCTTGGCCTTTACAATGTCCTCTGGCAAGGAGTTCCACAGGTTGACTGTGTAGCACGAGAAGTACTTCCTTTTGTTTGTATTTAACCTGCTACCTATTAAAGAACCCTCATTCTTCCAGGCCTTATTTCCCACGAAGGAGCCCTAGGACAGGTTATTCCTGTACCATAGCCCTGTTTTCTAGTAAAAATGTGTATCTGGATTTCTGACCCACAGACCAGACTTCAGTGATGCTCAGCTCCCCACTAATCCTGCAAAGCTGACCAGTTAGAGTTTGAGCTTGCTTTTTGCCACTCTTTGAAGCAGAATGTCAGTCATACGGGAGATTTCCTTTCCAGATTCGCCTCTTCAGCACAGAAAGCTGCTACCAAAACCTGCCTCATGCGTAGCACATACCTGCCTCCTGTTCACATGTGGCAGATTTAAAGAAGAACTGAAAGGCTAGAGACTTACCATGTAGTATTTGAAACAATATTGCCTGCTAAGTGAGACTGATTTGGACCTTAAAGGTTATCTGATGGATTGAAAAGACATGACTCGGGGGGGCAGGAGGGAACAGCAGATTTTGTTGGGTTTGACTCATCTGAGACCCTTTTCTAGCGATCTTCAAAAATAAAATGCTTCATGAGATCCACGTAGCTTTGATCAATATAGGCCCTTCCACCTGGACCCCAAGTTCTGGTCTGATGTACCTTTCATAATAGCAATACCTGCCATTCAGTCAGTGTCTGTATAAGCATTAATGAGACTGGTGCATGCAGGGGAATAATCCCAGATGTCTCATTAAAATGAAGAATATCACCCAGAGAGAAATAATCTGACTTCTGCTTCCTGTACTTAGCAGATCACATTTACATGTTGTTATATATATGCATGAGGACAGTGGTATATGAAAGAAGCCATTTTTAGATTAATTCATGTGAGTCAATACATGATCTCATAAAAGTCCAGTATGTAAAACATATGCTGCTTATGCAGTATTAGCATATAAGTGACAGGTTTTTGTTCTGCCCGGGAAGTTAAGCTTGACAATCTTTCCCTGTTCTCTTGTTATTCCAGGAGTCTCAAATCAGCACCTCATGTTACAATAGTGCATGTTGCAACACTCTAAAATGCTGATCTCTTTTGAAAAAATGACAGGATGGGGCGCCACATATATTTTCTTTCAGTGATTTTCACATAATATTTACTCTGTTCACACGTCAAAAGATCTTTTTTTTTTCTGACTAGATCTGTGAGCTGAGCCTGGGATTTGCAAAGCTACACTGCTCATCACCAGTAATAAAGATTCTTCAATTAGAACTTAGCTGACAGCTCTGCCGACGTGAAAGATAGCGCTGGTCTCAGTAATGCTAGTATAAGCTTGGGTTTGCGAGAAACATCACAGACATGGGACACTGTAGTGCTGAAAAAGGCACAACTGTTTTTATCACATCACTTTTCGGACTCAATCCAACAGCATTTTAGCACAAAGATCAGATCTTCCACTGGTGTAAATAAGAATAGCTGAGGTCACTCTGGAAGGAAAGGAATATTATAATTATTATTCATGTTGGCATATAATGAGGGAGCCCCGTGGTCACGAAGCAGGACCCATTGGCTTAAGAGTGACACACTGGAAATATGCTGCATCTGTCCAGGACATGCTTTACAGATTTGAGATAAACTTTGTTGAATTAAGTAAAACCTAGTGAATGTTGATGAAACCAAGACAATGGTATTTGAAGATTAGGAAGGAAGATCAGTGTAGATGGGATCAAACTAGAAAACATAGAGAAGTTCACATATTTGGGGAGCAACATGACATGATCTAGACTGTAAGAAGGAAATAGTGACTAAAATAGCGAAAGCATGAGCGAGTTTGAAGGCGATAGATAAGATCTGGAAAAGTAAAGCGATTAGCTTAGGAACGAACCTGAGCGTCTTGAAAACATGACGTATTTAGCAGCATGTTGTACAGATGTGAGACATGGGTGATGATAAAAGATTCGAAGAGAAGGATCTTGGCGTTTGAGAGGAGTTGTTATAGAAAGATCCTGAGACTAGGATGGATGCAGAAGGTCACCAACGAGGAATTATCTAGGAAGATACAGCCGAAAGAACCTACTGCAGAAGGTTATACAATGGAAGTTACAGCTACTCGGGCATATCTGCAGAATGCACGACGAGTGAAAAGTTAAGACCGTGGTATTCGGCATAATGGATGGTCCGAGTAGGAGAGGCAGATCCCACAGAGAATGGGTGGATGATATAGTAGATTGATATGGAGCTAGTCTACAGAAACTCAGCCACTCTGCACTGGACAGGGAAAGATAGAAGGAAATAGTGAGGGAGGCATCGGACACCAACGGGCGCTGAGCCCATGGTTGTTGATGATGATGATAGTGAATTTGGTATAATAGCTTTGGGTCCATTGTATTACAAATACAATTATTTGATTTCTTGTAGGATTGTATGTAGCTTTTCCAGAGACTTGACTAATATAAAGAATCTGAAAGGACTTTGGGGGGCAATATATATAAGGTAAATTCCCTAGGAAATGTCTGGAGGTGAGGGGAATGCAAATGATCCACTTCAAATCTGTCCTTTTGAAGCTATGCCCTGGAGAGAAAAACTGATTGAACCTGGACTTCCACGAAGAGATCATCAAAGACCCCAGAACCATGTGAAGGGGAGGCTAGACATGTGGGGGTGTTTGTTCAGAGCAGAAGTTGGGAGGAGGTTGAGCGGCTGTGGAAGCCCTTTGCATGGGGTTTAGGACTGCTCCTACAAGAGCCCAGGATCGAGTTGGGTGATGTCTAAGCTGATAAGAAAGCACGCAGTGTTGTTTCATTGTTTTTATAGGTTTTATTCTCCATGTTAAAAATCACTACAGAGAAAAGAGACTTGCGGGTAAATGCTGTGTGATACCTTATCATGATGGGGTGTTAGTCTCTGAAGGGAAAGTAAGCAAGTCTCCTGAAGCAGAGTCCCGTGCTGTGAATAACCCAGTCAAGGCATGGAACTGTTCCGCCTGGATATGCCCGGATCAGGATGAAGAAATGTGGGTCTCCATCCAAGAAAGGCAACAGGTGGGAAACTTGAGTGGCTGCTGTCCCTGTACCATACAAGGGAATACAGGCGCAGTGGCCCTGAACACACACACACACACACACACAAATGCAGTTCCTGCTCCGAAAGGAGCTTACAATCTAAGCAGGTAGACAGCAACTGCGCAGTGAGGCAGTCCAAGGAACCAGTTAATAAACAGGCAGTGGTAGCAGCAGCCTAGAGGCTCTGAAGTTTTTCGTAGCCACCTCAGCAAAAGAGTTTTAAGGAGGGTTTGAAGCTGCGATGAGTACATTCTTCCTAGACGTTAATTTCAAAACTCATGCTAGAATTTTAGTGGCCTTCATATCTCTTTTTTTTGGCCTCGCCTTTCGTGCACTGAAATTTCCAGAGGCCTTTCTAACTGGTATCGATGAGTTTCTTTACTTAAACTCTTTGCCCTTACATGAAGTACTTGGAGGTTACATTATTCCATGCTCTTGTATTGTAGCTTGCTATAAATTAAGGGCAATCAATTGGTAATACATTCTAGAAGCTGTTCATGATGTTTAATGACTAGGAGAGTCAATGTTCAAAGTGAAAAAGGGAAGGCAGAAGGGGGCTGTCTTGCAGCATCGCATGCAGCGCTCTAGAATGCTGCTTGGAAAAATAAGGAACTCCTGCAGCACAGGTCTAATATGGTGTCAGCTGGAGACTCCAGCTGGTAGAAGCAGCTTCTCAACCAGCCAAAGCTGAGACTGCTGCCTCCCTAGATGGCAGTGTTCCCTGTGCAGAAATTCAAATGCCACCCAGTTGGTTAGTGGAGCACCCACAACTAATTTTTTTCTATTGGAAGTGTCCATCAGACATGCTTTGATGCACATAAAAAAATATTCCATACATGGATGGAAAAGATTACAGGGAACATTATTAGGGATTGTGGGAAGAAGGTGAGGCCACACTTCTCCAGACCCATGTGCATGACAGATCACAGACACAAACGTACTACAGGGACTGTCTGCGATTCTGTTTGCCCTGAACAATGGGATCCTGTCCTTTGTTGGCTCTTAGCCACTACTGTAAAACATGACTTATTAAAAGTAATAGAATTCTACTCCTTACCCATCCAAGATTCAAGGAAATTCTATTTGAGGTCTGCCTAGAGAAGCCAACCCCTCCCAGATAAGGGTAAATTCCCCCGTACGGGTGAAATCCTGGTCCTTTGGACTCACTGGAAGGTTTGTGTTTAGATTGTGCATCCAAGCCTGAAGCTGACTCCCAGCATGAGAAGTGAATTTCACCCTCTGTGAATAGTTGATTCCATTGTTTAAAATGAAGATGGTGACAAAATCAGTGGTTTAAAGTTCTGCATATTTATTCTTTGGTATCCCTCTGACTGTCTTTGATCACCACAGGAATGGATGGTTCAAGAGCAAGAGTTATGGAGAGGATCATTCAAATTCAGCCAGAGAAATATGGGCACCCCTTTGTGCCTCCTTCTCATTCTTTTTCATAAAAGATGACGACATCACACGTGGAATTGACAGCCTCACAGGAATGAAAGACACGGCCATAATGCTGTGCCTGCACTTTAGACCCTTCCCTATTGATGTTTCATCAGGAGGGTGCTCAGTGTTCACAAAGCACATCCCACGCCTTTTACTTAGAAGCCCAGACACAAAAGTAATCACCAGAGCAGAAAATACCAGGCAGATGCACATATCCATGCATGTCCCTGAATTGCTCCATGTCTATGTCCATTCCTGATAACGATAGGCACCAATGATTATCAACATTAAGAAAAATGCCTGATTGCCTAAGCCACGAAATTCACCCCCCAGATCATCTGGTTTGAGAACCAAATCCATGTGTTTTTAATATATATGTGTGCCTGTTTATAGCTGGTTGGGAGGACAAGCAAGTGCTTTGTTCTCCAGTTACTATCTAAAACTAAAAAGGGAAATTTCACCAATCTCTCCCCACCCCAAAAAAATCTCCTCTCCTCCCCACCACCTCACAAAAAAACTTGCTAATTTGATTATTTTCTTTATAAATTAAAAAACAGGGATACGTTTGTTGGAGTAAATGTACATTAAAAATCACAATTTCAAAATGCTTTGCCCTCTCTGTGAATGATACTGTAATTTACTCATTACCAAAAGAATCAGGTTAAAGGTATCATTCTAGTATGCGGTCTACCTTCCTCACACCCTTCTCCCAGATTCTGTTATGTAAAAGTCCTTACTGGTCCTAAGACTCAGACTAGCTGGAAGAATTAGTGATTATTACCTTCTGTTTCTAGCTTTAGTGGTAGTCTTTGTTCTGGGTTGGATCCAATGTCACTCTTTATTCACTACTATAGATCTGCTGTCAAGATGCTTGTTTATAAATTTTCACCAATTGCTTCTCTCTCAAAGGACGTAGTTCCCCTCTGTTGCTCTGAAAACCTGAAATATTGCCATGCTTAACTGGAGTGAAAATGGAACCGGGTACAGGTCATGATAATGAATATATTTGGTTAAAAACATTTTACCCAATGTGCTTTTCTTACATTCATGAGTTGTATGAGCCTCCCTCTGGTGGCTACCTTTATACTTACAACTTCATGGGTTTTCTCATTTGTAAGACTTCTGTGGAGAGGTGGGAAAGTGCTAGGGATGGTAGTGCAATGAAAATTCTCTTAGTCCCTATTTCAACCATAGAAACAAGCTGTTGACATTTGTCACTCATTTTGTCAGTGAGCAAGATATCATCAAACGGAAAATGCAAGATTAGACTGAGATTCTCTTTCTCAAACACATCTAACTTGAAAACTATGACTCATCTTAATACTTGTTTGAAGAGGAAAAAGGTTTTACCTTATGGGAGATTCAGGAGTGTCTGTGGATTGTGTATTAAGAAAGCAAACAGTAGGTTTTGCCTGTTAGGCTACATGATATCAAGCTCTGATTTCTTAGAATGAAAGCTACAGCGGTGGCTCTTTACCTTGTCTAATAAAATTGCATGTTTAAGTCTCAGGAGTAGTCGTGTTAGTCTCTAAGGTGCTGCAGGACCATTCGTTGTTGAAGTTTTTTTAGTTACAGGTTAACAATATTTTTTGGTTAGTATCATGAGCTTTCATGGGCACAACCCACTTCTTCAGTTGACAAATATTGGGCAAGGGGCCCAGGGGGACAAATATATAGCAGAAAAAGAGGGGAGAGGGAGAGTTAAAAAACAAAAAAAGCCTCATTTAGCATGGACACTTTAATTGACAGGTGGCTAAGTCTATAAACTCTGGTCTTCACTAGGGCTTTATTTAAAAATAATTCAACCAAAGGGGGGAGTTAATAAGGATAATGTCCACGGTACCAGGCCCGTTGTTTTGAAATAATGGGCCGCTGATTTAGAAATCTGTACTCCTGCTTTCCTTGGGAAATAACGCTAATTTCAAAATAGCAATAATGAGGCCACTCTGGTACCGCTATTTCAAAATAATGACTTCACAGAGTAATTAGAACTAATAACTCCCCGGTGCTTCCTGGAATTCTTAAGTCTGAGGGAGGGAGTTCACATTAACAGAGCCTGCCTCTGACTCATTTCGAGGCTTCCCCTTAGTGTGGGCATGATAATTTGATTTTGTAAAATGGGGAGTTAAGTCAAATTTACTAATAGTTTCCTAGTGCAGACATGTTCTAAGGTGCTACAGGACCATTTGTTGTTTCTTAATCTTGCATTTAGCTTCTGCTTTCTGGTAAATTGTAGATTTTGTTTTACTCTGTTTAGATTTCTTTTAATAGCAAAGCACCTGGTTAGGGATTATTTATTTTACTCTTTCCATTAATAATTTTTATTTCTTAGTTGAAGGGACCAATTTTACCATACTTAATGTACATTTACGTATCAGTAAAGCCACGTGACTTGACTTGTTCAGTAGACAACTCAAAAGCATGACAAACATGTCTGCTTTGGCATTTCAATAGACACTTGAAATCAGACCAGGCTTGCTCAAAATTTTGTTAAAAGTGGCCCATCTTGAGTAAGCGGAGAACGAACAAAGTATGTACAGCTATGTTAGTGTAGTCTGTGACCTATGTTAGTGTGCGTTTGTGACCTTGTGGTTTCTACTGAGTATGAGGCTAATATAGCAGGGCTTGATCTTACTGGAATCTGCCATAAAAAAAGTTAAAGTACTCAAAACAAAATTTGAAGCCAAAGTAAGAATTTGCTAATTGAAATGGAAGGTGGAGTTGGCACCAACCCCTGAAACAAGCCCACCAAGGTAGACAGAACATAGCTACAGAATGCAATTGGGTACATTCATCCGAGCAGTGAAGCTGCAGTTATTTATTTTCTTTTCATAATTTAAAGGTAACCTTTTTTCCTTTCTCCCCCTTAACACTTACCTATTTTGATCCCCAAGGAATTGGGAAGCTTTGGACTTTGGTTGCTGGGGATGTGGATTGAAACATTCAAGTTCAATGGAAAAACATAGATCTCACAATCACAGTCCAGGAGTCAGTAGAGAAAATATGTTGCTTATAAAATTGACAAACTGGCAGAGGACTGTCATAGCTCTGGGCCAGTACTAGTGATCCTTCCCCACTGACACTTTCAATAGGAGAGTGCTTGAAGTTCACAATCCCCTAACTTCTTCTTTAGAAGCCTAAAACTAAACAGCAAGTATTGGTGAGATGCACATAGATCCAGAGCAATTTGGTGACTAAGGTTACGTCCAATCCCTGGCAATGAAGCATGGTTTTCAGTATCTTAACATTGGTGTCCCTGATTCCTATTGAATATGCCACAACCAATGTTCACACTCTAGCTCATGTTGTTAGGAAACAAATGAATATGTTAAAATATTAAAATCAAGTAATGTGAAACCTGTTATTAGAAAAACTTCAGATGTGAGGCAAAAAGGGGAGTTTAAAATGAACCTTCAAATCTGCTGTGGACTAGATAAACTTTGTTTACTGAAAAAGGTCCTCGTTCCTTACATGCCAACTTCTAAATAAGTTATCATGACAAGTTAAATGGCAATAGCATCCTCTTCTAGAGCCCAATCAAAAGGCCAGTGAAGTCCATGGACCCATTTAGCTGTTTCCCAGCCACAGGAACAGCCTGTGAAAACCAGACATGTTTTTACCATAATTCTTTTAAAGTGTGTATGACAGGCTAACCCCCTTATCATAGCAATGCACTTCATTTCTGGCCTGCACATTTTTTTTATTAAAATTTCATCTGCTTGATCACAAATCAGCTTCTTGTGCAGCTCCTCCATAGCATCCTTTGAGCACAGCCTGCTGCCTGCGTGAGAGTTTTGTAAAGCAGACAAATGTCCACCATGGAACTAAAAAGAGATTGGTACTTGAATTAGCTGTCAAGAGATAAGCTGATCATACCTTTGACACCCCAGTATAGAAGGCCACTACTCAGCAGGCTACATTAAGTGATGCACACGTTCAGTCGGTTTTCAAATGGCACTGTGGATTTTACTGAGGAATTCCTGTTCAGCACCTTGAGATCTGACTGCTGTAGGATGCAATATACTTCCCATAACATTTTTTTTGAAAATCTGAGGGAGGCTGGCTCATTTTTTAGAGGAACATTATATATATGAGAGAGAGAGAGAGAGAGAGAGAGTCTTATAGCGAAGGCTGCTGTAAAAGAGAGGCGTAAAAAGTCTTTCAACGGGATTGTTTTATTTTGTAACAAAAGAGAGTCTCTAAAACTAAATGAAGAGGTGCATCAAAGAGCAAAAGTGACCTGGTACATAAAACAAAGGAGCTGCTGAGACTTTAAATGGCAAATTCACAGCTCAAACATAGGAAAGCAGCGGTTATTCAGACTTCTGTCTGCTTTAACAACTGTTAAGAACCAAGTAAGTAAAAGAAGCCTCTTCCTTAAACAGTGGTAAACAGAAAAACATCAGGAGATACATCCACTGGACAATATGGTATGGCATTGTGAGATTCAAGATCAGCTCACAGTTTTGTCACTTTCTCCATTCTCTATTAATTTTCTTTTCTTTTCATCTGTTTTCCTCTTGAAAATGCTATTTCTGTAGAACTGAAGTTCTTTGATGCTTTCCCTGATGTCATCAAGTGCCCTGAAAGAGAATTAAGAAAGGTTTCAAAATGCACCAACATTCAGGCTACATTTGAATTCTGGTGCAACTCACAAATTCCAAACTGTAAAAAATAAAATAAAAAAAGGAACACTGAGAAATAGATGGCACACAAATATATCAGTAATAAAACCACCTACGCAAGACTCAGTAATACAGGAAACAATAAAAGTTCAGCAAGGAAGGCACGCAAGGAAGTAACACATTAGTTATTTGTTTGTGCTACTATGCAACTCTAGCAAGCCAACAGGTTCTGTGACTTCAGAGGAGTGGACTAGATGACCTCTCAAGGTCCCTTGCAGTCCTACAATTCTATTATTCTATTGTAGTTGAGAGTGAAGGCAGGTTAACTGAGCTGAACATGTTCTCATATGATGAATATGCAAATTAACATTACATGGCCTGAAAAAGTATAGTTTACCCACTTTTGTTTAAGTCTCTGCATTACTTCATCTATTAAAACAAGTACTGGTATTAGTCTGAAATTCCTTATAGTGGACAAGGACTCAAGAGACCTAGATTCTATTCCTGGTTTGGCCAATTATCTGCCGAGAGACCCTGAGCAAACTGCTTTTACTTCTCTGGGCCTCTGCCCCAAAAGGCTTACATAGACCAGACAAAGAGCAGGAGGAGAAACAGAGACACTATGCATTAGCACAGCGCCTACCACAAATGGACCTTTACTTCAAGTGGGTCCTCTAACATACAATAATACAAATAATTATTAGAAAAGGACAGTTGTCAAGAACATATTTAGTAAAAACAAATGAACAAAAAAATCAAATCAGAACCTAGATTCCTATCATTCTGAAATCTAAGTAAAGCCACATCTAAATCAGAAGATAGTACTTCTTAAAATCAGGTCACCATCAGCTGACCTTTGCTCAATGATGACATTTCATTCCAACAAATGCTTCCTGAAATGGTGCCGCAAACATCGGCAGGAACCAAAATGACCCGATAACCTCCCTAGCCATCTTTGTATTTTCATGCACAAAGGTTTTAAATACCAATCTTTATGGCTAGAAATTGCCTTCTGCAATATGCCAGGCTTCAGACTGCAAAGGCTGGCTATGATGCATGCTGTTCCCTTTGAACCTTGGGCCTTCATATGTCCATATTACAGAGTTCATGCATCAGAGAGCTAGGAGAAGAGGTACTTGAAGATTCGGTTACTCCTTTTCCCAAAGATTCCCATGCAAGGTTTCAAGAGGCAGAAAAAATTAAGCAGTAAACATAACTTGATTCCTTTTACATCAAAAAGTTAAAGTGAGCACATCTGCCAATGTAGTTATGCTTCCAAAAGGAAGGCATTTCAGTACTGTTCCTTTTGGCTTCATATTTGTAGTAAATCACAGTTGCTTCATTTCCTAACAGGAATGAATTAAAACTGCCATCAGTCCTGTTGAGCTAATACAGCTTTATTATTCCACTTTGCATATCAGCAGCAATCTGCAAGACAAGTTCTGGTTTCCAGATCTTTATTTATAAAATAAACACATTAAGCAATTTGTATATTAAAATAGTATCTAGGCACCTAAGTCAGAACTGAGACTTCATTGTGCTAGGCACAGTATTTAAAAAAACATGGGGCCCAATGGCAAAAGTCAGATTCACAGTGATGGTCCTGAAAAGTTGACAATCAAAGATAAAGTATTAATACTTTGTTATAAAGCACAGTTAATGTTGATAACTAGCTTTTAGATCCTCAAATGAAAGATGCTGTGTGGTACACTGTTGGATGGTAAATCAAGATTAACCCCACTTCACAAATAGGAAAAAAGGCATCAATATGTCCCAAACCCAATCTCCCAATTTCCAGTCCTTTGCTTTCACTACTGGTCCTCTAATAACGGTTGTGCTCCAATATTTTTTTCTGAAATGCTTAGCACTGTGGTATGTAAGTGCTTTGAACATGTATTTGTCAAGACAAATATCTTGGCTTAGTAAACTGAGCAGGTCATTAATAAATTACTTTAGTTTTCTGTATTTTTACAGTTAGTCTTTTTTGCCACAAAAAGACTTTCAAGAGAAAGAGATGGCAAGAAACACAATTACACAGACTTCCAGCCCCATCAGCAACAGAATTAACATGTATGATTTCCAAAGAAATTGGTACAGTTGAACCTCTCTGGTTTGGGAATCTGGTTCGACAGGCCATGGACGTTGCTGAACTCAGAGAGCCCCAGTGGTTGCGAGTGAGGGTTCGCTGGGAACCCCGCAGCAGAGGAGCTGGCAGCAGGGAGACCAGCAGATGTCAGGAGCAGTGACCAGAAACATCAGCAGGGTCAGCAGCCAGGAGGGTAACCTGGAAGCTGGGGCTGGAAGCCAGCTGCAGAGAGCTCGGCACTGACCTCCCCTGGTCTGGCAAACTCCCTTGTTCAGGACCGGTTAGTTTCCAAGGATGCTGGACCAGGGGGTTCAATTGTATGTTCCACATTCCAGGATAAGAGAGTACTGTATCTTAAAGCTATGACAAATGGGCTGCATTAAAGGCAACAGAGGAAATCTCACCTATGAGAAGCCACTTTCTTTGGTGCAAATTCAAATTCTTCTGGATACCAGCGCCTGTATATGGAAGAAAATGAGTTTAAAATCCATATATATTCAATACACAGTCAGAAGCCTCTTTGTGCTGCTACAATGGGAAATGTCTCTTCAGGGCAAGAATTTGGATTTCACTGGCAGACAAGTCGCTATTATAAGCATCAAAATAATACAATCTATGTGAGAGCTAAAGACCTCCCTACATGTAGTTCACTAAGTAGCTCCTTGCCCTTTTTCTGTTTGATCCCAGTGCAGTATTCAAAAGAACAAAATGGCTGCACACAGCTCTTTCCCCGCTGTTGTCCTCTCTTGTTTTAGAAGAAAATTAGTAAAAAATAACTAGAACTCCTTAGATCTTTTTACGCTGTTTAACTTTGTACGGCATTTACCTGCACAGTTCTTTGACAGTGCTCACATCAATTATCCTGTAATGAACATGCCTCATAAACTGAGGCATATATTTGTCAAGAAACTTCTTATCCGCATGAACAGAGTTTCCTAAGAAAAGACAAAACAGATATTTTTTCCAGAGACTTTACAAAGGCACAGTGAATTATATCAGAACTAGAGACAGACTCTGCAGACTGGGGAAAACATCTCTGATTTCCAAATGTTTTCAGTCAGCTTGTAGGTCTCATCTTCCAGTAAATATGATTTTAAAAGATTTCTGTCTGAGTTCCACTGTGAGAGCACTTCTGTGTGGTTTAAACATATAATCTCTCTGCATTGAATTCTTATTAGAAACAATAATTTCAATAAAAGTCAATATATTACACAAGCAACCAGGTTTTCCAATAAGGGTATAAGCGCTTTACTGTTGGATGACTATATTTCCCTCAGGTTATCCTTCTGACCTCTGAGTCAGAGTTCTGAATCACCATCAAGTAACAAGACATTCAGAATAGCAGCACTTGGAGGTTGATAGGTACCTTGTTTTTCCTTAACTGGCAACACGATTCCAATCTGTAATACTGTTCATCTTTTGCATTCACAAACTGCTGTCAACACTAAGTCACACCAGTAACAATATAAATGTATAATGAAATTTTACTACTAAGAGGAATTTAAGTTTCCTGCAGATCTATGGGTATTTTTCAGAAACCTATATAATATCTGCTTTAG